TCATTTTTTCCCTCATTTTTCCCATTTTTTACTCGTTTTCCCCTCATTTTCCCGTTTTCCCCTCATTTTTTTCCCCTCACTTTCCTCTCATTTCCCTCCCATTTTCCCCAATTTTCCCCCAATTTTCCCCCAAAAAAACCCCACTCATTGACTCCAAAACCATTTTATTCCCGGAAATGCCCGAATTCCTCTTTTTTCCTCTCATTTTTTCCCTCAATTTTCCCATTTCTCTCATTTTTTCCCTCATTTCCCCTCATTTTCCCCTCACTTTTAACTCTTTTCCCCCTCATTTTTTCCCCTTTTCCCCTCATTTTTTCCCCTCACTTTCCCCTCATTTCCCTCCCATTTTTCCCAATTTTCCCCTCACTTTTAACTCTTTTCCCCCTCATTTTTTCCCCTTTTCCCCTCATTTTTTCCCCTCACTTTCCCCTCATTTCCCTCCCATTTTTCCCAATTTTCCCCTCACTTTTAACTCTTTTCCCCCTCATTTTTTCCCCTTTTCCCCTCATTTTTTCCCCTCACTTTCCCCTCATTTCCCTCCCATTTTTCCCAATTTTCCCCTCACTTTTAACTCTTTTCCCCCTCATTTTTTCCCCTTTTCCCCTCATTTTTTCCCCTCATTGTTTTCCCCTCCTCACTTTTAACTCTTTTCCCCCTCATTTTTTCCTTTTAACTCTTTTCCCCCTCATTTTTTCCCCTCACTTTTCCCTCATTTCCCTCTCATTTTTCCCAGTTTTTCCCTTATTTTTAACTGTTTCCCCTCTCATTTTTCCACTCATTGACTCCAAAACCATTTTATTCCCGGAATTGCCCGAATTCCTCCTTTTTCCCCTCATTTTTTCTTGGACACGCCCACGGTCCGCCCGCGCCGCCCGGTGGTCTTGGTGTGCTGCCCGCGCACCCTCAGCCTGGGGGGCAGAAAAAAGCCAAAAACGTCAGGTTTAGCCCCAAAATCCCGGCGGTTTTGGGCAATCCCGGCCGGGGGAGGGTCGGATTTGCCCGAAATCGCGGGATTTACCCCCAAAAGTGGCGCAGGCCGCGGTGGGCGCGGATCTTCTTCAGGCGCTCCAGGTCCTCACGCAGCTTGTTGTCCAGGCCGTTGGCCAGCACCTGGGATTGGGGGGAAATGGGGGGAAATTGGG